AATCTGATGTAGTCTATCGGTGGAAAGTTTGGTTTTTTTTATAATAACAAGTGACGGGACGAACAAACGGTCGTGGGCCAGGTGGTAAGCGACACGCCTGTTAATAACAATTGCAGTGACACTCGGAGCTGCTTTAAACTGCAAAGAGCATATATATATACTATATCACTGCGCCCGTCACTCTGAGATATAAGTAGACAAACCAGCACCCCTTCAAAACCGGAACGCAATAATGCTCACGTTACTGCTTGTCGGCAGAAATACGTAAGGTGTCAGTACTTCCCTGGACGAACTCTTTCACAGGGAGCTCTACTGCTACTAAATTATATATAACAAAAAAAAATAGTTTATGTAAAATAATCAACAAATCGAATTGTAACTATTCTTTGACTGGAAGTCAAGTGTGTACATTGCCTTAGGTCTAACGAATAAGTTTTAATTACTTCGACAACAAAGAAACCGCTTCGGCTGACCCAAATTTAAAGTTAAATTTGAAACGTCTAAAGGAATGTTAAGCTAATTTAAACCGTTTCCGTCCAAATACTTCCAAAATCCGTCAGAGAAACTGTTATAAACAATTACGAGAATTGCAGGTGTCAAATTTTTTTATAATCATTGATTTAAATTGGGATATCGAGTTCTTAGGTTTTCGCGATTGTTACACATAGGAAATGAAACTATTTTTCCGGATTTGAACTGAATGTTATTTGTTTTTTCAAACAAACCGATGAAAAGGGCCCGAAACGTCGGTTTGTTTGAAAAGGAAATATACGCGATTCAAATACAAAAAAATGGATTCATTTCTTATGTTAATTTGGGATTTCAAAAGAAGGCTTCACGTGATACTTTAACAAAAATTATTCGTAAAAATATACCTTATAAAATATCTAATTAACTGAGATCATAAAAGTTAATAAAATTTATTCATCAGAATTTTATTTCACAGCCTGATGTTGCCTGAAGCCTTTATTCGTATGTAATTTTTTTATTTATAAATCAATATATATACATTTTACATATTTTATAAATGTAGTTTCTTGTCAATTCAATATATTACGCCATAGAGACAGGACGAACAAGTCGTGCGCCTAATGCTATTAGACATACCTGTCCATAACAGATGCAGTGCCGATCAGAGTTTTAAATCGCAAAGAACTGAGAGGCCCTGCACCTTGGCCTTGGTCCGTCACCCTGAGACATAAATTAGTAAGTCCCATGTGCCTGTAATTTCACCAGCAGCATCCTTCGCTTTCAATACCGGAGCGCATATTACTGCTTGGCGGCAGAAACAGCTAAGGTGGCAGTACTTTCCTGGACGAACTTTTTCACATGGTATTCTACTGCTACTCGCCGGTTGTTGCCCAGGGTGCCTACGGGAAGCTCCGTTCATGCACCCGAGTATTTGTACAATCCTGCTTTATACACCCTAATCGAGTGCTAGATAAGTCTTATTACAAAATGTTACTATAATCGCGATGAGTCCAAGCCATAACCTAAAATTGTTATTTCATCAACACTCGTGCTGCAATTCATAAAAATTTTATAACTTTATCATAAGCGCACGTTATTTATGGAAGGACTTGAATTAATAAAATATTTATGAGTTTATTTAAGATCAATGACGATAAAAGTTTTGTAGATTCGTCTATACCATTGTATAGACTTCTTCAAGATTAGCCTTTGAAACGTTTTTAACAAACACTAGGTACACTGTAACGAAGGCCGGTAAAAATCTTTTTGTACACCTATATTTACATTTTCATATTTTTTATGAAACTTACCAACAATATACATAAGCGTTTCATATTCCTTACAGCCTCTGTGGCCGAACGGTTACCATGCAGAGGTCCCAGGTTCGATTCCCGGCCCGGGAGAAATATTTGTATGGCATACATTTATTTCTCTCGTAAGTTTGGGTGTACTTTGTGGTTGTCTATGTATGTGTCCATGGCACCCGCAACACAGGGTTTCCCCTAGTGTGCTTTATTTTAGAATTACCTTATACTTGGCCTTGGCATCATTTTCATGACATTTTATGATCCTTATCATTTTTCAGGTTTCGCTTATAATATATACTTTTGTAAATTGTTAACATTCTGTAATTTATTTCATGCACTTTGCAAATAAATTTTTATATGCATAGTACGTTCAGGCTGGGCTTGTAATTATAACAAGGTTTTGCTAATTCATTATTAGCCATCGAGTATATAACCAGAAATAGAGACGAAATAATGGCCATACATTCCTGGTAACACATTAGCGATACAGCTCTTATAAATATCAACTCTCGTTTGCACTGAAATATAGACAGGCCAACTACTGACCTGTGTGTACGTCTCCGTATATTCCAAGAAATATTCTGTATTTATTGTAATAAAGATAATATCTCTAAAAATGCCGTGCTGTTCTATTCGGTGGTGTGGGAAAAACATCTAATTACAAAACAAACGGAATCACATTTCATCGGTAATTAAATATTAAATATGGAATTTTTGCAATTTTCGTCCATTATAGCAAAGCTCAAGTTAACTGGTCGATTTGAAGTGAAATAGTTGATGACACCCATTGACGACACCCGTCAATTGTTTCGAACTCGGGCTAGCCAATCGGAGCGCAGCATTTCAACCTTAATCCGTTAAAATAAATAATAGCAAAAATGACGCGTTTGTGTATTACTTTGTGTACAAAATCGATACTAACACTACTGAATTAGTTACAAAGAAAATTCTAATAAAAATAAATGTCACATTTCGTAATTTTTTTCATTTTCGTATTCGAACGTATAACATATTATATGACCTTTTATATTTAAGGTATGGTTAGTTTGGTTTGTTAAGAAAAATAATAGTTATATATTTTCAACTGTTAAGAGAGAACACGCTGTAACATTCAGGAATCAGTAATTTTAACTTATTTAAGATTTTAATATCTTATAAATTAATTTAGTCAATAGTCAAGACCCTTGCTACGCGATTGTCGGATTCGGTAAGTTACGATGTCCTTTTTTAGGGCAACCTCCTTTACTTTTGGCAGCTATGAAAATGATTGTGTTATATAAACATTATTTAAGTCAATGTCAAGTTGATGTTAGGAATTAGGGGCTTGGTTTATAAGGCCTCTTATTACAAATTGTTATATAGATAGATATATAAAACTTTATTTAGTTATATGACACAGGCAGAGATTAAGTATTGAAGTATGGTACGATGTAATGGGCTATTTTCCGCAACTCGTGCACGATCATACTACCCGAGTCCCGTCCGAAATTTTCTAAACGCCGATTACTAGATGGTAGTCATATTTCCTTTAAAAGCAGGTAAATTTTGTAACAGCAGTTAAGGTGGTTGCTTTCAGTCAGGACAAGAAATTTCTAAGTAAAAAAAATAACTAAAAACTGCTATGAGTTAATTTCACTCAGAGCGTCTACGCAAAAAATAGTGGCAATCGGACTACATCACCGCATTGCTCATTAATTAGCACAGGCGTTTATTTTTAATTGTATACAGAATTGTTATATTATTGCATATTACCTTACTTCACGACCTCTAAAATATTAATCATGCAAAATTAAATTATAACATCAGCTACGCAGACGCTGTAGTCTTTCTGAGCCCATCGGCCAGAGCCCTTCAGGTCTTTATCGAAATCTGTAAGAGATACGCGGTGTTCCATGGTCTTAGGTATAACTATAAGGACTCGTTTATAAGGACAAAGTCTGTTCCTTTAGTAAAACTTGGAGAAACAGTGAGGTACCTATCAAGTTTAAATTCCTTGGGCGCTGCGTCAACTGGATCTCTCTGATGACCTGCACACAGAGATAAGTAAGCACTCGGGTTTGAAACAGGGTTCTCTGTACTTGAGGAACTCAAGATTAAGAATGTACAATGTCTGTCTTCAACTTACATGCAGCGTATGATGCGCTATTTTGCTCACGTGTCACGAAGAGATGCTGGTAACCTGGAACATTTGATGGTCAGGGAACGTGGAGGAAAAGCGACCAAGGGGCAGGAGTCTCAAAAGGTGGTCGGATTAGATCTCCGAGCAACAGGATATACATCTCAGCACCGCACTATATCATGAGACTGAGCGCAAGATAGAAGCAAACGGTTGGCAGGATGCAGTGGAGTCACGATCCTCAGCAGTGAGGAAGCGATTAAGAAGAAGAAACAGGGTTGCGAGGCGAGGACAAACACCATTCACAAATAAATATTTGTTGTAAATTGGGTTTTATTTGAATTGAATGATGTAATAATTGCTTTCTGACAATTTGATTTGCTTTTCTATTGAATCGACTTGCTTGAAAATCGTATTGAAATAAATCGATACAAAAATGCTTTAATCTATTTTCACAAAAGTGGAATCAAAATGTGCATCCTTTTAGTGTGAGAATTTTAAGCAGAAATGAAAAAATCCCGGCACTTTGGGTTAAAACACAGGCTATTTCATTGGGTTTTTACACCACTGCCCATATCTGTCTGTATATACAGAGGGAATGGTGCGAAGCAACATGTTAGCGCGCAATGTATACAATGTAATATAGAAGTCAAATCAACCTTGTACAAGGCATACTGCCAAACCTTCTACACGTGCAGCCTGTAGGCTGATTCTACTTAATGATCACTTAATATCCTAAGAGTTCATTATAAATGGTTTTAGAGTGCTGCCGTTGTTGCCCCTGTTCTGCAATGCGTTCGGGACAGAACCAGTGGTCTTCTAAATACCACATCGGAGTTGGTGAATTGACTGATGGTAAGGCAATAAGAAAACATCTGGCACGTTTGTCTGTAGAGTGCACTTCCTTTCATATCGTAAAATATAAAATCCACTTAATCTATTTGTAAAGGAAACACATTTTCACTGACAGAAATGAAAAATAAGCTTATTTTTTAAATAATATTCTTTATTTCATTTACCTTAATTTTTTTAAATAACTTTTTTTAAACTTAAGACTTACAAATGATTTTCAAACAGAACGGTAAAACAGTCAATTTTAATTTGATTGTCATTTTATATTTTCGTTTTGTTCAGTTTTTAGTTCATTTGACTCCAACAGTAAACTCGATGAAACGGTCGGAGAATGGATAACAATTGTTGACTGCCGTTCCATAGTTGGCACATCTTGCACTAAAATAGGCTGGGGATGTTCCAGCATTGCATTCTCTGGAATACTGGAATATTTTTAATATTTTTAAATCATGATTAAGGAATCATTGAGCAAGTTGCTTATGACGAACAGTTCCGTGCAAATGACATTCTATCATTTAGCACGTCTATGCGTAGTATAATAAGTAATAGTTGTTTAGATATTAGCCTTGCATCTTGTAACGTTTACTTTGTTGACCCCTTTTTTAACCATCTTCAAATATACTCAATACAGAGTACTAAAAAAACCTGCCTCAAAAGTTTATGGAATTACATCTACTTGCCAAGTTTTATTAAAATCTGTTACCGGAAAATGCGCCACACCGGATTCATCACCTAGTTAGCCACCCTTAGGGGTGAAATATTTTCTTCAAATTTAAATGGGACCAATACTGAGGTGCCCTCTTTCTAACAAAAAATAATCATCTACATAAAAAAATACAATCGAATTGAAAACCTCCTCCTTTTGAAGTCGTTTAAAAAGGAGGAGGTTGTGAATTCGACTATTTTGTGTGTGATACGCGTTTACTCCGACATTATTGTGAACTGATTTCGATGATTCTTTTTTGTTGGAAAGAGGGTACTTCAGTAGTGATCCCATTCAAATTTGAAGAAAATATTTCACCTCTAAGGGTTGCAAATTAGGGGATTAATTCGGTTCATTAGATTTCACCCACTTTCCGTTTACCAATTTCAATCAAACTTGGCAATAAATGTAATTGCAGTCTTTTAAAGCAAGTTTTTTTTATGAAAAAGTTATTTATTTATTTTAATTAATTATTTATTACGTATTAAGAATTTCATGAAACAGAGTATGACTAGCGCCTAGATGTCAAAGGTAGACCTAACGTGTTTGTACTCGTTGGTTTTATTCCCGACAAATAGGAAGTATTTTGAAAATTGTAATTTAAGTTTTTGTATATAATGTCGAACCCAGTTATCTATATATAGTTATCTATATCTAGTTATATAGACTTTCAGCAAAGATGCAAACGCGACGCAAGCGCACGACTGCATCGATACAAACCCACGATTGCGTCGCTCCACTTGGGATATAAAGGTGCAATCGCGCGTTTGTATCGATGAAGTCGCGCGTTTCACGAACAAGCGTTTGCATCACTGTTAAATGTCGCTGTGTGTAATCACTCTTATGTAACAGAATTTGGTTCGTTGTCTACGAAAAGTGCTTTATGAAAGGATAAGTCTTGGCGAATGTTGTTACGTGTGGCTTTCTAATTATTAGAGAAACAATTTATTAGGCCATCTACGACCATGGTGTCTTTATCTACAAAATATCACGTCAGTTTGATAGCTTAAATTGAGTGAGATGGAAGAGTAGTGGCACTGTTGTCGATTGAATGTGTTCAGTTTAATTAGTCATCTAACATGATCGTATGATATTATTATAATGATGGTTAGGGTGGCTAAATGAAAATAAGGAGAGAAGTTGATGGTCAATGCTTTATAAATGAGCGCGTATTTACAAGGCGGGTTTTTTGTATGAGTTACTCGGGAAATGAACACGTAAGCGCGGCTGCTCTCTGTGGACTTGCCGCGTGACATATAAAATCTGTTTTAAGCAGATCCACCTTTTGAACTTTCGAACTAATTACTGTAAAATGTGAATAGACACATTAATTGCAAGTAACTGATGTTATTATATCACCGCCATCTGAACAAATTGATAACGAGCAGTGAATAGGCCAAACCAACGTTTCTTATTTAATTCCTGACTAAATGACAAGGGCGTTTCCTTCCACGTCTCCCTCATGGTTATATACCGACATGTGTATGAACATAGCTCATAGAATGTGGTATCCTAATGGTTGGACCTACCGCCTCTCAAACAAACGCCTTGGGTTCAAATCCGGGCTTGCACCTCTGTGTTTCTCGGAATTTATATACGAAACTTAATTTGAAATTTACCAGTATGTGCGGACTATGGCCTAAACCCTCACCTGAGAGGAGACCAAAGCCCGGAAGTGGGACGTATAAATTAGTTGACATATAAAATGAATGAACGAATCGCTGAATCAAAAATACTTGAAAATACATAATGCTCGTTACAAAAGTTAGTAAGTAGAGCTCAAAATCTTATGAAACTACAAACAATATTACTTGTTCAAGCATCGGCATTTCAGTAGATTAGATATCACGACATAACTTCAGAGAAAATAAGAAAACTAAGCCACAATTAAACTTACTTTGGTCGTTGGAAAGGCGTATCGCATAACATCTTATCTACTCTCCACGTTGGTATGGGAAACTTTTTAGGTCGGACTATCTTGACTCTGTTAATTTCCCGGTCTCTGAAGCAAGATCATTTGTTTCAAAAAACATAGCAATAAAAATTTTTTTAGTTTGTTATTTAAACGCATAATATCTAAAAACACAATGATATTAGACAATGAGTGTTGTTCAGGTTTTTTAATCCCAAGAAAGGGGCGTTTTTTTGTGATAACAAATAACCTGTCCATAATAGTTGCAGTGTCGCTCAAAACTTAAAATCACAAAGATCTGAAAGACACTGCCACTGCGCCTGTTACCCTGAGACATAAGTTGATAATTCCCAAGTGCCTGTAATTTTATCAGTACCCTTACTCTTCTAAACCGGAACGTAGTAAAGCTCACATTACTGCTCGGTGGCAAAAGTAGGTAAAGTGGCATTACCTCCCAGTAATGTACTTCATTATATTGCGGCGTATTTTTTTTTATACAAGAATAAGTGCGCATTTGACCTCCATATCACCTGATCGAAAGTGACGACGATGTGGCATGGACACCTAAATAATTTCTATTCACTCTCGCCTTGAAAAGGTCCAAGTTATAGCATTCGGGGAAAAGTCCACAACATAGAAGTGGAACCCCAGCCCATGTCTAGTACTCCGTTAATGGAAAATAGAAGGCGGAATCAAATCATGCAATTCCATAGCACTCACTCACACACACTCTCCGTGCTATATCCTGTAGAATACCGATAGGCAGGCAACTTTACGATGGTGTTCAAGACTTTGTCTTCGCCTCTACTAAATCTCTTCTGACACGCTTGAATCTAAGGTGGCTACGTGGTACTTAGTATCTCTAAAACAGATTTTCTAACGAATACTAGCAACTCTTTTTCAAAATAAGTAATCACCAAGTAGCGTGAAACACAACTGTAGACACAGAAAAAAAACTTACTTGTTACTCAAATATCCTTTATCAATGTTTGGCGGCTTATATCGTTTATCCAATCCAAATGTTTTTTTCCTGAAATGTATTTTAATAGTTTAGCTTGTACACTTCCGGATACATAATTCGAATCACTTTGCATTTTTATTCTTAAGAGTTGATACAACCTCCAATGGTCGTTTCCGCATAACAGTGAAAGTGTTGAATTTAATCACTTTGAAAAAACATATATAGTAAAATTGAATGTAATCACCATTGACTTACAATTATATGGACGTCAGGTCCGCGCTAAAAAGTGTCCGAACATATAGGGCGTTAAAATCGTATACAGAGCGTCATTCACGCTTTAGTCTTCGTTTGTTCGGCTGACAGCGAAGCAAGCAAAATTAGACAGTACTGCGATGACATTACAATTTAAATTTTTAAATTTAAATTCAATGTTTTAGCTTTTTCATATTCCTTTACATGTCACTACGTTTAAATAGGTTGACTAGGGACATTTCTTTCGTGGTTTTTGTATTAGACCCGTCGTCCATTTATTTGTAAGTCAATGGTAATCACTGAATATATATACGGTATAAAAACACGATTCTTAAAAGTTTTCACGATAGAAAAAAAAACAATCTTACCGCGAAATTTTACAAGAAATCCGTTGTAACAATAGGTACTTTACATATACCAATGATTTAATTTTTACAACTGAACTAATTAGAACAAGTACAAGTATACGATATACATTTTTTCAAATGGCTTTAGTTTCGTTTCGAGATAGTATCGATTCTTAAAGGGCTAGAAAACAAAAATCGTATCCTGGGTGTAACAAGGACACATATCGGCCTCTTTATCATAACTAACATAATCGGCATTCTTAGCAAAATTGAGTTAATAACAAGTCTTATATCAGC